GATGATGATGATGATGATGATGATGATGATGATGATGATGATGATGATGATGATGATGATGATGATGATTCTGATGATGATGATGATGATGATGATGACACTGATGATACTGATGATGATGCTGATGCTGGTGATGATGAGGAGGAGGGTGAGTAGGAGGAGGAGTCGGAGGAGGAGTCGGAGGAGGAGGAGGAGGAGGAGGAGGACTTGGCCCGCGGCACCGCAACGTCTAGGGGGAGGGATGAGAGATGGAGGGGGAGGGGGAGGAATGAGGAGTAGGGATAAGAAGGGGAAGGGGGAGTAGGAGAAGGTCGAATGGGAAGGCAGGAGGAGTTCCAGAGTCTCAATGGACAACTTCCGCCCCGCAGGGATTCTGCCTCGTTGCGTGCGCCTTCACCCCGCAGTTGGAAGGAGGGGGAGGACAGACGAGCAAGTGCGGGCTGCAGCAGAAGGAACGCACAGATGGGACGAGAGAAAAACAGAGGAACGAGAGCAGAGAAACAACACAGGCACCCTAGACAAACACACAAACACCCCAACAGCAGCAAAGGTGGAGAAGGTCGGGACGAGGAGCGGCATGTCGACCAGTGAACACGTGCATTCCCAGGCATCCCTGTGGATCCCTAAGGGGGTCGTGGCCGTCCGGACCGAACATGTGGCCCCAACCTTGATCGGGGGTGGACAGAACCCCCAACAGTGACGCGTCGATTCGTGAATTGTCCGTTTTCGGTTCTCGAGAGGGCGCCGCGGCCGTTATTTTCCAGGCTCGCGCCCGCCAGGTTTGGGCCTCGGGTCGTTTTCACTAAACCACGTTGTAGTAACGGGAGGTCTGTCCATCCCCGACTTGAGGCGAGAACGAGATTCCTGAGCAGTGGTGAAGACATCTCAAGCGACACGAGGGCTGGACTGGGCGGTCAGCGGCTCCCCGCCCCCCCGTGTGGGACTCTCGTGTGTTTTTTTTTGGCTGCTCCCCTTCTGACCACAAGGAGAGCCCTCTGGCGAAACGCTACTCGGGAACCACTTCCACATGTACCTCCGCATGCCTGCGAGAGTTTCCTGGTCGGCGCTGGGCCCCCCGGGGCTTGCCATCTCAATCGTGTCTGGAAGGTCCCAGGGCCCGGGAGGGTCTGCTGGAGGAGCCCGCCGCCGCGACTTCTTCACAACGCGAAGACGTCCGGGGAGAAGAGGCGGAGGAGAGGAAGGGACGCGAGGCAGCTTTCGACAGCCCACGCGCGCCGCGATCGGCGCGTCCGGCGCGAAGGCGCCAGCCAAGAACGGGTCGGACGTCGCGTCGGCCAGCTCGGCCTTCGCGCGGGCGAGCGGGCCGCCGCCCGTCTCCGCCGCCGCCACCGCCGACGTCAAGAATGGCAATTCAACGAAGCGCACTCCAGATCTCGTAATAAAAGGGAGGGGGTCTGGACCCTCCAAGACAAGCCATTTCAGACCCCCCCCCCGTGGGAGAACCCTCCAAAACATCGTCCCCAGACCCCCCCAGGCCCTCCAAGATAGCCTGGAGGAGACCCCCCCCGAAATGAGACCCCCCTCCCTTTATTACGAAATCTGCAGTACCTCCCCGTCCCCTCCCCGCCCCCTCTCCCCCCCCCCCCCCTCGGCCTGGTCCTGCGCCCCCTGCCCCACAGCCCCCCAAAAAGGTCATCCTTCCCATTTCCTCCTCTTCCTCCTCCTCCACCCTCCACCCTCCTCCCTCCTCCCTCCTCCCTCCTCCCTCCTCCCGCGAAGATTGCCTGGAAGAGACCCCCCCCCCCGACATGAGACCCCCTCCCTTTTAGTACGAAATCTGGGGTAAACGTCCGGAGGTCCGCGCGGGACTCCTGGGGATCGCCGCGGGCCCACCCCCCCTCTGCCTGGCGTGCGGAGCGCCGCGCGGGGGGCGGCGCGGAAGGCGCCGCGCAGGGGAGCCCAACACGGCTCCAGGGAATCCGCGCGGACCTCCGAAAGCTCACGCTGATGCCGCTTTCGTTTTTCGAGTCGTCGGGGTCGTCGGGGTCGTCGCCATATCCTCGTCGTCGCCACTGGCGCCGGCAACGTCGCCATCGCCGCCGTGATCGCCGCTGCCACCGTCGTCGTCTTCGGAGGTGGAGGCAGGAGACAGGGGGGGGAGGGGGGAGGAAGAGAAAGAGCTGGAGGGTTTCGGCGGTTTCGAACGATTCCCGAAATTTGTTAGTGGAGGTTGCTGGGAGGATAGGCCTGGTGGGTCCTCGTCCTCCTCTTCTGGGCCTTCGAAGGGCGCCGTATCAGCCTCGCGGGCCGTGGCAGAACGCTCTCGGTGAGGTGCAGCCGTCGATCTGGAAGGCTGCGGGAGGTCTCCAGAGGCCACAAACCTGCGCAGACTTTTCAAACAATCCCCAACCTGCGCCCCTGTCTTTCTCTCTCTCTCTCTGTCGGTCTGTCTGTCTGCCCGTCCGTTCATCCATCCGTCCGCTCGTCTGTCCGTCTGTCTCTCTCTTTCTCTCTTCGTCGTCTCTCTCTCTCTCTCAGTCTCTCTCCCTCTCTCTCTCTCCCTCTCCCTTGGCTAATACTTACCCCGCTCCTCTCCGGCTCCTGCGGTCCTCCTTTGAACCTGAATCCTCGTCCCTAGGCCGCGCCTAAGCCGAACAGAAACACAAACGATGCCCAGACGGAAGCTGCTGTCCTAAACAGACAGCGCCCAATGTTGGGCAAATGGCGCCTGCACCGAACGGACAATGCCCGCGGTGACACCGACAACGAATCCTGACGAATACGAATCGTGGGCGCGAACTGTTGCTCGTCTTCGCTCCCGCCCTTTCCGTCCCCATTTCGGCCCTTCCGAACCTCCTCCTCCAAGGGGGAACGATGGGGGGGGGGCAGTCTAGGAATCAGCGACCCATCGCCGATTGATTGGGGACAACCCTCCGATAACGAAGCCCAGCGCTCTCAGGCGGGGGGCACCCATGGGCCGATGAATGGGCTATGGGGGGCCAATGCCTCCCCACCTTCCCCCCTCGAGTTCGGTCTCTGACGGTCTCTGACAGTCTCTCCATCCCGAGTTCGGCTCCCTCGGACTCCCCCGTCGTCTCTGGACCCCTTCCGAGGGCCATGCTGGCCGTGGCGACGAGAAGCCCCCGGGAGGTCCAACGAGGAGGAGGGGGAGAAGGAGGAGGAGATGAGGAAGAGGAGGATGATTAGGTCAGGACAAACCCGAGGGGGAGAGACTCGCGGATCTGAACAACATGCGGTGTAACGTCCGTCAGAGGGACGTTTGCTGCCCAAGCGGGGATGAGGAACCCGCCAGGGCCGCGCCAGGACGCCACGCTTAACAAAACCAGCGTTCCTTGACCTGGTTCTCTAGCTCGAACTCTCGCCCACAGCGCAGCCACTGTGCGCATGCAAGGGGACGGACTCCTGGTGGGAGAAGGCCGAGGGAACAACAGAGCGGCTCTGGGCACGACTCTTGGCCTTCGGGCCTCCTGACATGGTCAGATGAAACAATGATCTGCCCGACTGGGCCACTGGGCCCCAGTCCGCTGCGACATCTACGATCTACGGAGGACGTCGATGCTTTTCCTAGACGAGGGCAGGCAAGGGCGGGTGAGGTTTCTGGCACAGCGCTGGGCCAAGCAACCCCACCGATCACGAAACAACTGCAGTCAGGTCCTTTTTGACCCGCGGGTGCCAAGGGCTCTCGGGTGAATCTCGCACGACGCGACCCCCACGAGCAAATGTCCTTGGGACCGGCCGACACTGCTGACGACAAGGCTCGGGGCCCCAGGACATCCAAGGGCATGCTGGCTGCCACCCTCAGTGCCGATTATCACACAATGCTTGCACTGCACTCCGAAGGGTCCCTCCGACCACTCGTGCCAGCCAGGAGAGGTCCTGATCGAGCTCACTCTCGCAAGCGGGCGTCCAAGCTTGGCACGAGACTGGTGCAAAAGGGAAATCGCGGCAACGAGCTGAACAAACATATTCACCGTGAATGTGTCGCTGTCGATCCTTTCAGCCGCTCTGGGGTGGATCTCACCGTGGAGTGACATGGCTTCCTTCGCGTGAACATCGGCAGCACAGTTACCTTCCGCGAGAGCCCTCTCCTCGAACGCAAGGTCAGCGATCGCGTCCATGATCCGCTGGGTTTTCACGTTATGAATAGTCTCAGCATAGCCAATCCCTGGCAAAGAACCGAAACCCATGCGAATAACGTGTTGGCATGAATATGTACACGCGCAGGGAGCAGGGCCTGGTTAATAGCAGCCTTACAACCTCCATGCGCTGATGTCTGTGGAAGCCTCCAAATACCGCGCCACGCACAACAGAAAGTGGCTTCGGACAGGGACTCCAAAAACAACACAGCGAACGTTGATCTCTGAAAACGCGAATCAGCTTGCATAGAACTGCTACCGTCGACCGCGAGATGCAAACGAGCACCATCACCAATGGAACGAATGGTCTTCTCTGGCTCCAAGGAACACCTCAGGAGGCCGTCCCCGTTGAGGACTTGGGCAACAAGGTTGGCGGCCACAGGAGGAATGTCGTCAGACCGTCTGTAAACAATCCCCCCGATGGTCAAATCAGCACGGACTTTGGGTCTTTCCGCTCTCTCGGAATGGAGGGGGTGGACTTGTGCCTCGTCCCTGGCCTCGACGATCTCAGGAAGGTACATGCGCGGAGCCTTTAGAGCACTGTACCCACCTGGCCGCATAAGCAACTCGCTCGAGTCGCGCGGTAACCCTTCGCCTGGGCGAGGGCCTCCGTCCAGAGACAACCTGTTGCACAAGCCCGCGCACGCGCCTGATTCTTGTTCGCTTCTTGCCGTTCAAAGCAGCGCGCACTCCGTCCAAGCAGGCCCTACTGCCTGCAGGAAACCCCAGCTGCTCCCCCAACGCAGTCTCACTGGCGGCCTGGATCAAAATCTGAAACACCTTGACCAGCCTCGCTGGCGACACTTGCACAAGCTGGATGTTGATTCTGTCCCGGTCCCTCCACGCGGTGGCTGGCTCGGTCGTCCGCCTCACGCGGGCCAAGCAGCAGGGAATCCGAGAAGTCGGCCAAAGGGTTCGGCCCAAAGGGGTCCAAGGAACAGTCTGAAACACGTTGTCCCACATAGGAGGGAGGATGGAGAAAGGAACTTCGGATCAGGCTGATGAGGAGGCGGCGTCGGAGGAGGACGAGGAGTGCCGAGGAGATCCTCCTGATGATTACTTATGCTAATCATGATTGGTTGTCTGGTACCTCCCCATCACCTGAGGCCGCGGACTGGGTTACTCTTGCCCTTGCGGGCCTCTGTTATCTGCCAATTCTCCTTACACCGCTGCCTCTGCAACCGCCCGCGGCCTGACTTGTTTGTTGTTTCGCCCAAGTCGGCGACGTATTTTTGTCGCAGCCTCCATGACGCTTCAGGCATCGGCCCGAAGCTCGAGCCACGTCAAAAAGTTGACAGCAGGGCCTCCGCCGTCTCGCCTGTCCCACAGTAGGATGGAGGGAGGAAGGGACGGTAGATCAGGTAGATGAGGAAGCGGCGGCGGAGGAGGATGCGGGGGCGCGCAAACATGGATTCGCGATCCATGGATTTGGCGCGCGGACGCCAAATCCATGGATCGGGCGAGGTGCCCTCCCCCAAAATGCGGCCGGGGCCGCCTCGTTCGGCAGCCGAGATCCGCGCTGTCCCATGGAAAACGGACCCGTCGCTAAGAGCCCGTGTTGTTTTAGACTCTGGCAAGTTTACTTGCATGGACGGGGGGGGGGGCTGAGCCTGAAGCAAGCCCGGGGGGGGGTGCGGAAATCACGCAAGTCGCAAGGCACTTGCACGCTAGTATTCGCTTGAAGAGGGGCGAGGGGGGGGAGGGGGGCGAACGCCATGCAAGTAAACTTGCCTGAATCCAAAAAACAACAGGGAGTAATCCACGCCCCCTCTGATCCGCGTCTGCGATCGCCGGAAGGATGAGGAGTGGCGAGGATGGGCCGCCGTCGTCTCGCCGGGCCCCCCCTCCGAGCCTCCCGCATCGCCCCCCCCCTCCCCCTCCTCCTCCTCCTCCTCCTCCTCCTCCTCCTCTTCCTCCTCCTCCTCCTCCTCATCCTCCTCCTTCCCCTCCTCCTCCTCCTTTGTCGAAGATCTTCTGGCCCAGGTCAGTCCAGACCCGGGTCAGTCAAGCCTTGCAGAATCCTGCAGATCCTGCACCCAAAACCGAAGTCAACGCGCAGGATCCTGCACCCAAGCCTGGGTCAATGCGGCCCTGGCCCTGCAGGATGCTGCAGGATCGGGCGCTCTGGCTGACCCCCGTTTGCTGGAGTCCCGAAATGGTGCGGTGACAGACCGTGCGGCGACCTCGAAATCCACCGAGACATCACCGCACGGTCCGTCAGCGCACGGTCTTGGGACCCTGGAGGCCCCAGTCGCCCGAGACGTCCTCGGAGAACGACCCGAGTCCCAAAACCGTGCGGTGACCCCGAATCCCCACCGACTCACTGCACGGGCCTCTTTTTGGGCCTCGTGGGGCCTCTAGGGGGCCTATTGGGCTCTTTTGGGTGACTCTTGGGGCCTCCTGGGGGCCTCTTGGGGCGGAAGGCTCGAATTGTCGGTTCGTGTTCCCCCTCGTGGGCCTTGGGGCCCTCCTGGGACTCCCTAGGGCCGTCTTGGGCGCCTCTTGGGCCGTTTTGGAGCCCTCTTGTTCGGGGGCCCCCGACTGAAGGATGAGGAGTGGCGAGGCGGGCCGCCGTCGTCTGGCCTGGCCCCCCCTCCGGGCCTCCCGCCTCGCCCCCAGCGCGCTGGCACGCCTGGGGAGCTTGCAGGCTTGGACTCGGCGCCGGCGGTTAGCCCAGGGAGCCCACAAAGGACGTACGCGCCCAGCTGTGTACATGAACACGGCCCCTCGATCCGCGAGAGCGGCAGCGTTATACGAACAGTTGTGCAATGCGTGCTCTCGAAACCAGCGTGGATTCATGTACATGTACGTCCTTCTTTCGCTCCTGATAGCCGTCAACCTGGTTACCGCTGGGACCCTCGTAGAGCTCTTGAAGTCGACAAGTCTCAGTATGGTTCAACCGATCCCCATCCCCATCCCCATCCCCTTCGAGACCCCCCCAAACTACCACCCCAGTTGGGGATACACCCCTCGACACCCGAAGAGAACGACCTATATCCCCATCTAGGGGGGTCTGATCGGCCAGCGGGGCCCAGGCCACGCCGCTGGGGACGCCGCTGGGGATGGGGATCGGTTCAACGATACCCAACGCTCGGTGGCTCGCTTGCAGCTGCATCTCATGGACGCATCCTCGAAACTCGGCAGTGGACAAACCTCCCTTTAGTAAACCTCCCCTTAGTGAAAACGGCCTGGGACCGAAACCGACGGACCTGGACCCGCAGAAACGACGGCCGCGACGCCCTCTCGCGAACCGACAACGGCCAATTCCCTAATCGACGTGTCAGGGCAGGGAGGTCTGTCCACCCTCGGGGGCGGCAAAGAGGGGGGCGTCAAAGAGGGGGGGGTGCACATCATGAACGGCGGCATGTGCGCGGCCCAGCGGGGGGGTCAGGGACGTAATGAAATAAGAAGAGGCGCCATGAGATCTGGGGAAATATCATGACCACGCCATGATATCCACCCCCCCCCCTAGTCATCACCCCCCTCTTTTCCGCCCCCGACACCCCCGAGACGCCTGGCCCCCCCGTGCCTTCCCGGGCGACCCGGGGCGCCGGCAGAGAGGCCGCCCCTGCCCGCCGCCCGGGCCGCCGCCCCGCCGCGGCGGCGCCGCTCGGCCCCCGTCGTCGTCGTCGCCGCCGCCGCCGCCGCCGTCGGCGTCGTCGCCGCCGCCGCCGTCGTCGCCGTCGTCGCCGTCGTCGTCGTCGTCGTCGTCGTCGTCGTCGTCGCCGTCGTTACCCTCGTCGTAGTCGTCGATGTCCTCCACCTCCTTCGCCCTCCTTCTGCATCTGATCCACTCACGCCCCGCCCATATCATCCTCTCGCCCTGCTCCCGCATCCTTCATCACCCTCTCCCCTTCCTCCTCCTCCTCCTCCTTCTCCTCCTCCTCCTCCTCCTTCTCCTCCTCCTTCTCCTCTTCCTCCTTGTTCCATCCCCCCTTTCCCTACTTCCTTCTCCTCCCTCCCTCTTCCCCCTGGCTCCCGCCCTGGCTGCACCATCGGCCCCCGCTTTTGAGCTTGTGGCTGAGCCGAGCAATCCTCGTAAAGGGGCCCGAGGACACACAAATAACTACACACAAATACAAATATCCCCCATATGTTCAAACATGCTCTGGATTTTCTGGGGATTCGACGATTAATTGTGTCTGTGTGTTTCTTTTTCCTCCTGACCTCGGCAACTAACCAGCGTCGGATAGCCCACGCTAGAATCCAGGGCGCCATCGGCGAACACAATTGGCCTGCCAAGTAATTGCTGTTCACGACCTCTGCATGCCGACGCCCGTCGCCGGTACGCACGCCCTCTGCGCGCCGAGGCGCGCCGGCACGCAGAGCGTGCTGCGCTGCCGAGACTGCAAGCCGTTATCGCCTTATCCAGTTGCATTCGCCGATGGCGCGCATCCCCCCTGGGCTCGAAACGCGCTTGTTTTGGGTGTCCCGAAACCGTGTGGTGACAGACCCGGCGGTGACCTCGAAATCCGCAAAGACCTCACCGCACGGTCCGTCACCACACGGTTTTGGGACCCTGGAGGCCCCTGTCGCCCGAGACGTCCTCGGAGAACGACCCAAGTCCCAAAACCGTGCGGTGACCCCGAATCCCCACCGACTCACCGCACGGTGTGGTCACCACCCCGTTTGGGAGCCCCCGATTGTTCTCGCGCTCTCGCGCGGCACCCCCGGAGAAGACCACCAGCCCAAGCCGCGAAGCTCCTTGTGCGCGTTTGCCCTGGCGCCCCTGCGTGGATGGCCGAGCATCTGCTGAACCTTCCAGCGAGGTCCCGAACACCGGAATACATCGTACCAGGCAACTGGAGAAAAATGCGGCTGAGTTGCACGCGTGGAACGCCCGGAGGCCAGACGCTGCACACACACCGTGCGGAAGGCGAGCCTACTATCCGGTCATGGAGGGCCGACCGCTGGACAGACATCGGCCACGCGCGCTGTCCAGCATCCACTTCTAGGCCGCCACCACTGTCTGAAGTGATGGGCGTGTTTTCCACCACCACCACCATAAGCTGGAGGGGGAGGAGGAGGAGGAGGAGGAGGAGGAGGAGGAGGAGGAGGAGGAGGAGGAGGAGGACGAGGAGGAGGAGGAGGAGGAGGAGGACCTCTCCCCCTCCAACGTGTGGTGGTGGTGGTGGAACACAAGCCAATCATGAAGACCTCCCGCGTCACCTCCCAGCTGGGCCACCGCCGCACCAACCTGAAGGGGCGCCAGGACACACACAAATAAATACACGCAAATAAAAGGATTGCCCATACTTTCCCATATTTTCTGGGTTTCTGTCTTCCCCCCCACTTCCCATATCTTCCCATATTTTCTGGGGAGTCGAGGATTAATTGTGTCTGTGTGTTTCTTTTCCTCTCCTGATTTTAGGCCGCCGCCACTGTCTGACGACCTCCCGCGTCACCTCCCAGCTGGGCCACCGCCGCACCAGCCCCGCGAACCGCCAGCCACCATGCACGGCCCGCCGGGCCGGCGGCGCGCCGTGAGCGTGTCCCAGTCCAGCGCGTCGATGCGGATCGTGGCGTTGCTCCTCGCCTGGCCGGAGCTCGGCCCCCTCCCCTCACGCCATGCATACCTAATCCCTTGGGGCTTGTCGACTTTTCGCCAATCGACTTGTGAGAATCGAGCCAGATGAACCCAGGTAAATGCAGATAAATCGAGGTCAATCCAGGTCAATCTAGATAAATCTGGGTAAATCCAGGTAAATCCAGAGATCTCCAGGGAAAGTTCGAGCACTTCGCGGCCGCTCCAGCGCGAGTCGAAGGACGGCAGAAGTCGTTAAGCCTTTACCGACCTAACACTCTCCACCTCCTCCTTCCATTCCCGTCCCCACCCCCGAGCTCCTCCACGCCGCACGACCCACCAACACAGCCCCCTTCCT